TTTCTTAATTTTTGTCAGTCGACAAATTCTGTTTTTGCCTAGGTCACATTTATGTCGACTAAATTTTCTCGTATCGTCGGCTAAAAAAACATGATCAGCGACAGTAGTATCGGCGACTCAGAGTAGTCAAATAAATTCTTAAAAACACGGTTTTTTTAAAAAATCAAATAATACTAGTAGACCAACAGTTGCCCTATCTTCATTCGCTAAACCAAAGTTTGATTTTCACCGTCGGCAGACATTTATAAAAGCCCAATTCCTCAATGTCGATCGACCGACGACCGACTTAACGAACTGTCTGGGTTTTTTTTTTTCAAGTCAGTCGTCGGTCGGTCGACATTTTGAAAAATGAGTTTTCAGAAATTTTGGCTGAAGGGGAAAATTGAACTGCTGCCCAGCAAACAATAATAGGGCTGTCGTTGGCAAACTCATGAATATTTTTACTTTTAAAGGCATGAATTGATATGGAAACCCTGCGTTGATCAATCATGTTATTTTAGCTAACGATACAAAAACAAATGGTCGTCCGACCGTCCGCTTTGACCTAGGCATAAAAGAGCACAGCGGCAAATTTTCTACTTGAGAACCATGTATAATTTGTCAAAATTATTTTAATTCATTTTTTATTATTCCATAGCAATTATTTTAGTCTAAATGTTAATCAAAACATTTATTCATTTAAAAACCTTAAATCCAAACAGGACTTTTACATTTTCATCCCGTATTTATAGACTCTTTATAAATACATTGAAATAAAATCAAAACACAACTCCCTTGAACATGAAAACTTTTTGCTAGAAGTGAAAAATTTATTAAGTAGTTTTGCTGGGTAATAACAAAAGATATCATCATAGAATCAAAAGAAATATCAAAACATATATTCTCCTCTCTTATATAATTGAAATTCAAGTTCAGAAGAGGGCTTATTAAAGATTTTATTTAGTGTTACCAAAGACAAGAAGTTTTCACGTTTTATGCAATAAGAGTATGAACAAGATCAAACAAAGAGGAAACTACAGAAGAACAATTTTCATTTATAATCTATTGTTTATTCATCCATGTCTTTGAACATAGCAAAGTATTGCGTTGATTTAAAAACATACTTTATAAACAATTTTACGTGATATAAGGCAATTAAGTACAGCAGTAGCCCTACGTTTAATAGGTATGGTTTATCAAATGTGTGAACTTCAGTAAGGAGAGATAAGGAACTGTTAAAAATAATAAAGCATCCTGAACATGATTTTCCCAACTTTATTAATGTGAAAGAAGTTAAAAAATGTATGTCTACCAAGCTGTAAGTCGGATTCAGTTTTTCCTAATCTAGTGTTTAACTGTGCAGAGAAATCTGATTACATTTTTCCAACTTTTGATATAAGTAAAGGAAAATAGCCACCGAGGCGAATGTTCTACAAGTAGATTAATTTACAATTTAAAGCAGTTTATCTACATAATGCTACAATCGATTTTTAAAGGTAAAATTGCTTGTTAAAAATTAGAAAAGGATCTTTTTTTAAGTTTGCTTTATTCAGACTGAAATGCATATTTGATTTATTTTACAGCAATTTCTATAATATATAATTCAATTTTCCGTTACTTTTTTTACACTGACAGGTCAAGGCCATTTTTTATGCATTAAAAGAAATGAACACGTTTTCAGTTTAACATTATTTGAATGGTTATAAACATTAACTATTTAAAAATATGACTAACCACGTAAAAGCTACGTAAAGTATTACATATTATATACAATTTAATATTCAATTCAATGGATAGCTTAAAGATTTTCGCAACTACATTATTCATTGATGTCATGGATATTTATTTGGCATTTACGTATCTGAAAATCCAAATAAATAAAATATGACATGTTTGGTTTTTTTTTTTTTTTTTTGAACCATCTGGATATAATTGAAAGTTGTATAAATAGTTCTATCCAAAGAGAAATGAGACTAATGTTAACATATATATAATCCACAAATAAAGCAAGATCTGATTTAGGCCTTTCATAAAATTTCTTTTTTCAATTTTTGGATTTGCTAAACATTTGATGACATATGATACTAAAGCAGAATGTTTGGATTGATATATGATTTAAATTCTACCTCTCAGCCAACGCCCTGATAAATTCATGCATTTCTTTTATCATTGTATCAGACTTTATCTTTTATATGAATTAATTTAAAAAATCTACGCAGTTTAAAATATCTAGTGTACTTATATAAACTACTAAAATTGTATTTGTTTTCATACATAATTTTTAGGGAAATTTTTGTATCATATCTTCCCTTAAGTTAGAAAAACTACATTACATTAAATTTATATGTTTTAAAATCAGAGCATAAGCGATAATGCAATTAATTAATTTTTTTTTTGCTACCTTCATGTTAAATTTATGTTTTACTCAATCTTTTCGGGATGAGTACATGAACATTCCAGTCCAGATGCTGCTTTGTATTGTTTTATGGGCTTTAATATTGAATACTGTTCGTTATCTCCATATCCTTCATCGGTAACTCTCCATATTTTTTGTTATAGAAAGTTATAGAAAGTTGTTGAATAAATATTCTCATAACAATGAGCCGTTTTTCAGTAAAAGGGAGAATTTACAGGTAACTTGGTCGATTGTCCCAAGCTATAAAATGGGCAATCAAATTATCAGATGACGTCACAATCAATTGAGTTATTATTATGATATACCCTTAGTCAGATATCACTAAAATCAAAGATATTAAAAAATATCATCGATTTATTAATTTGTAAAATGTCAAAGGTAAAATAAGCCTAAACTATAAGACACGATATAATTTCAATTTTAAAGATTTGCTGATAAAGAGTCAACTCGGTTTAAGAATCAGATCGAGGGTAGTTTCAAATCAAAATAAAATAATTTGATAAAATTGTGGAGATATTACATGCATGGTACTGAATGCTCAAATGCTTTTAAATTTGCTTAATCTATTACAAAAGATCTATGCAAATGCACCTGCTTATCTCTGTCATAAACAAATATTAAATTTTATTACATTTTTAATAGCTCCTATTCTAGTGAACATATGGTATCAAGTATCTATTGATTTTTCTTAACAACTCTCTTGTTTACTGCATTTGGATTTCAAATGAGTTAATTAATTATTTACCGTGATTAAAATCGTTAAATGAAAATTTTCACAATTTCTAGGTGTACCGTGACTTCGGCGTAAGTTTTAAAATGCCAAGGACCTTTCGGTCAGAACATCGAACAAATTGAATCCAACCCTGAAGAAACAAATGGAGAAGGATATGGAGATAACGAACAGTATTCAATATCAAAGTTCATAAAACAATACAAAATAGGAGCAGAGCAAACACGGACCTCCAAAACATCAGATGCGGGATCAGGTGTCATGGAGGAGTGAGCATCCCTGTCAACCGGTCACACCCGCCGTGTGCTCCTTGTCATTATGGGCAAATTACGGGAAAATCCATAGTCAATTCAGTAAATGAATAATGGATTAACAAATAGAATGAAAATCGTCAGTCATTATTTGACTCAATGATAAATTGTATTTGCTGACAAGGTCATTGTATAGACCAAAGAACTCAAGGAATGATAAAATACTGGTTTCATCACCTTGATTGTCAATAATTTACCTCGTTTTAGAAATTATTCATACATAGAACATGCTATTGCGTATCGAATCAACTGATATATAAACTCCGTATGTAGTTGATGAAGGTATATTGCTGCATAAGTAAGGGAAGTTGAAGATAGAAAAGTTAAAGTCAATAATAAAAAAAATTGTCAACTCTAAATTCTCTAAAAAATAGACCAAATATTTAATTTTACTATTAACAAATATGTTTCCTTCAAAATGAAAGTTATTCCTAGGGAATAATTTGGAAAACATTCTAGAGGAGAGAATTAAGTCTGAAATATTTGTAGCCCTAATGACTAAAGACTAGAAAAAGCCTGTTGGGGTTATTTAAAGACTTTGTTCTATTTTAATAAACATTGAATAAGCTGGCGCCATTGATATTCAACTTGAAGAACTTTAATCCATATATACATATGAATATAAGTTATTTAAAACTGACAAAACATTGCAAAAAAAAGTTTTATGTACAAAAATAAAATTCAAAACTGTGTCAGACAGGAAAGGAAATCTGATACAACTCCATGAAGCAGGGAGAAGTTCTTATAACTACACTCTTTTCAAGACAAAAAATCACTTTGTTTTGAATATTTAACAAAGAAAAACAACAAAGAATGATAAAATGTTATTCCCCATTTAACAAACAAACGATATCATAGGTCAGGTTCAAAAGAGACGGTAAAACACGAACAAAAGTCAATAAGTTTTTAAATAAAAACTAAAAACTAAGTGATTTTCACTTCCCATGTGTCAAAACCAAAATTATTTTGAAAACTTGATGGATACACTGAAATTACGAAAATGTATCAAAAATTCTTGACTCAAGCACTTTGCTATGCCTATCTTTTACTGTAACTGGATAAGGTTTATTCTGTTTTTCAATTCTTTTTATGAAAAGATGACGGTTTTATGTATTATATATTAATTTTCAATATTCAGTTATAAAACCCATTTGTATTCAACCTTGTAAGGGATTCAAGAAAACAGGAACAAAATTGTTATCATAAATAATGAATTGGTTGTAACCATCAAAGAAAATGAATACGTAACCCATAAACTGTCACAAAATGTAATCACTATATTTTTTAAAGCTTAATATTAATGTTAAGATTATGGTTATAAGTAAATTAAAAAAATATATTTAAAAAATTGAAATAAAAAAATTAACAACAATACTATTTTTTTAAATTAGTAAAGTTTTAATTTATCTAAGGAAACATCTTTTCAAATCTATTTTTATAGCATGAAATAATGCAAAATTAAAATATTAAGGAAGTAAATTACTTATTTTGAAAATGATCAAGAAGGGAAAAACAGTCCGGACTAATGACAATGTTATTATTATTTTTTTTTGTAATTGCTTACCTGCATTTGCCTGTTGAATGATTGTTGCTATTAAAAATATCTCTAAAATTAACTTTTGCATATTAATTGTCCTTTCAATGTAATACGGTTATCAATCCATGGTGTCTCCTGTTTTGAATGAAACGTCCAACTGTACGTGTCTTATTTTTGTAAAACCTTAACTGTGTTTATGCAAAATTGAAAATAGTATTTCAATATCCCTTCCCAATTGGTTAATGATTCTAAGTGGATGAGAATAAACGGGGAATCGGCAGCTGCTTCTATATGTTGTCATCGAGCGGGTTTTCAATAGTTTGAAGGAATTCCTATTGATTATTAGTCTGGTTAAATCCACGCTTGGTGAAGTTTAGTGAGAATATACGGCTTTACATATCATTGCCACTAAACCTATCTCACTTGAAAAGTGAGAAGTTGAAGAAAAAAATCGATATCCGTTAATTATTGTTACAATAATTATTTCAGAGTTAAATCACATGTAAAGGATAGTAAATAGACTATAATTTAATTGGAAATGTTTTTTATAACAAATGTTTTACCTATCTAAAAAACGGAAAACTTTAAAGATGGTTCAATAGTGATTTTTTTTTAAAATATCAAAATAGAAAGAACTGGTGATAACAAAATTAATACTATTTTTACCAATGTTATATGAAATATATATTTATAAAAACTATGACACAGCAAATAGAAATCGATCTCATATGTTTTGTAAACAATACAAATAAGTCCATGAACCCATGGAAACATCAGACATGAGTTCTGGTGTCTTTAACCGGTCAAATTCACTAGTGGCACTTGTAATTAATTGGAAGTACGGAGTAAAAAGCGTTAAAACTTTGACTTAACAATTGGTATAAAACATATCTGTAAAAATATTGAAAAAGTGAATCAGATAAAGTTTTACAATCTACAATAAATTATTAATAAGCTTTTTATGTTTTGCTTAAACATCCAACTGCAAGCGTAATTGATTTAGCTTGTTGGGGGAAAAACCTGCAAATGAATGTGTTGATTTGTTAATACAATTTAAAGTTTTGCATTTCTGTTAATATTTTTGGAATATACAAATATGTTCCAAAAGAACATCACATCTACTTCTAAAAGTATTCACTCTTTAGTTTGTTGGGTATGCCAGGGCAAAGCCCGTTATGCATAAATTATCGCACGTTTCCCCCTATCGTTGATGTCCCTGGCATACCAAACAAACTAGACAGTGGTTCCTTGTATTTCCATTTCATTGTGAAATGAAAAATGAATGGTAAAGTCACTTTATTTTTATAAAAAATGTTTCCTAATAGACGCGGCCTCCCATGTTAGTTTCAAAAATGTTCGCCTACTGACGTCCTACGAGATCTACATGTATATTAGGCTTTTTTAGCTCCTGACCTTTCGCTTGGTGAAATTTACATTCCGGTAGAATTATTACGAAATCAATTCATCTAACTTTCAAAGAGTTACCATATAGAAAGCAATTAGAAATGGAAATATACTGATATTGCCTTGGAACAAAAGGAATTATTTTTTATATCCTGGCTTTCCGATTGGGATTGAGAGAGATACGTGATATCCTTTGTGATATTTTAATTAAATGTTGAAACTTACTGATGACTTTGTTTTCACATTAATATAATTCGTATTTGATTACCAATTTTGTCAAAACCTCAATGGTATTTAAAAATAAATTTAATAAAAAGTAAAAAAGGCATAAAGTTACTGGAAGTAATATTTTACCGTAGCTTTCGTAAGTTTAGGAGAAAATTTTGATAATCATGCAGTTAATATATACAATATCGATCGAACCAAAAAAAATATATAGAGTTAATTTGCCTATTTTTGTAAGAAATTAAGAAAATTTAAAGGATTTTCAATATGATAACATCCTCCAACTTTCTGGGTCAGATGACCTTGAGTGATGAGTATATAAATGTATTCAATAGGAACCCTTTAATGGAATATGATGACGTCTAGCATGAATGAAGTAAACGTGCAATGGACGCCAAAATAAACAAATATCAACAATATTTGATTTGTTAACAATTGAAACAAATTGACTACAGAAAAAGTTCTAATATATTTGATAATTAATGTTCAATAATGTCTACTGTATGATTTTTCCAAGTCTGGAAATAAATCAGATGAATAAAACAAGCAGTCCTGTTACAATGTAAATAATCAATCAATCTACATCCAAATATAATAAAGTGTTCATTTAATTTTCCGGTTTTATGCCCGTAAATACGGAGGATATACTCTTCTTTCAGAAATTCAATCTTGATGTTTTGAGTGGCTCTTGCAGTGAATCGAAAGAAAATAGTGTGTTAATCCAATCAAAGGCTGCTTCATTGTACACTTTAATTCAATATTTTAGTTTGTCAATTCTATATCAATTATGACTAATTAATGAGGTGGTGCTTGGAAAAGTTCATATGACAGATCTATGTAGCATCTAAACAAAAAAATACAAAATAAATAAAACTATATATAGATTAACATTTGCAAATATTTTTTTTTAAATGAGAAGCATATCTTTAAAAGAATTTGCATGGCTGATCAAAATCCAAAAGGAAATACACAGCATTTTTAATGTAGCTGAACTTCAAGTTTACATAAATAGGTTTCATATTATATAAAAAAGAATTCTGCAAGAATTCTCACGAATGTGCATTAAATTTGTTACTAGCTGTAAATGCAAAGTAAAACAATGCATATTAATAGTATTCACACAACAGTTAATGCTAATTCAAAATACGTGCTTTAAAATTTGATTGGGCTTCATTTCGATAATTAGAGATATTGACAATGTATTATGTACTAACAATAGTTGCTTTCATTTATATGTCGGTCCGATATATCCCACTGAAACTGAAATTAAATACGCCTTAGAGTCTTCATCATTTGTTTCACATTTAGATGCGTAACAGACTATAGACAATAAGCACTAACTTGCTACTACTAGTATACTCTATGAAAAACGAAATAATATAATCTTTTCCAGTCAACTTTCCTTATTTATGACGAAATATCACATAATGACCTGTATATAGTGTTAATATCTCCCAATTTATTCAATATACTAGAGCAAACTTCAAGTATGATCATTTTTAAGTTAAGACAGGTAACTGACAGATAAGTTTACGTTACTTGGATTCCAATTTCCTCGTTTAAAGACGGTATTTCGTGAACTATATTACCGTTATAATGACCTAGTTAGAAAATATAATCTAGCATTGTCTCGTATTTTGACTGATTTATTTTTTTTCCAATTGTTAGCCTTGGTTTTATACGAAATTTCGCTACGGAATGTTCTGTCTATTTGATAAAAAAATATTGTCTACAGTTGGTATGTCTGATCAACAGGGGATGTTTACTCCTTCTATGTACCCAATTTCATTACTTGTTAGCTCACCTGAGCCGAAGGCTCAAGTGAGCTTTTCTGATAAAAATTTGTCCATTGTCTGTCGTTGTTGTCGTAGTCGTTGTCGTTGTAAACTTTTCACATTTTCATCTTCTTCTCTGAACCACTGGGCCAATTTCAACCAAACTTGGCACAAAGTATCCTTGGGTGAAGGGGATTCAAGTTTCTTCAAATGAAAGGCCACGCCCTCTTCCAAGGGAAGATAATTATGAATAAGAGAAAAATTAATGGCATTTAAAAAATATTTCTCAATAACCACTGGGCCAGGAAAGATGAAACTCATGTGGAATCATCCTCAGTTAGTGTAGATTCAAGTTTGTTCAAATCATGACCCCCTGGGGTAGGCTGGGGCCAAAATCGCCGATCAAAGTCTTACATAGGTATATATAGAAAAAATCTTTATAAATCTTCTTCTCAAGGACCACTGGGCCAGGAAAGATGAAACTAATGTGGAATCATCTCAAGTAGTGAAGATTCAAGTTTGTTTAAATCATGACCCCCGGGGAAGGTAGGGCTTAAAATGGCCGATCAAAATTTTTCATAAAAAATATAAGGGAAATCTTTAAAAATCTCCTTCTCCAGTACTTCAAAGCCATGATTAGTGATATTTATATGAAATCATCCTCAGGTAGTGTAAATTCCAGTTTGTTCAAATCATGACCCCCTGGGGGTTCAGATTTAAGCCCCCCCCCCTCCAAACTCAGTAAACTTTCATTTCTGATCTGATATTTGCTTTTTCCTAGCCGATGTGCTCAGGTGAGCGCTGCGGCCCCTGGGCCTCTTGTCATTTTCCTTTGTGAACATTTGTTCTTGTAGCATCTTTTGCAAGATGACTGGAGAGTTCATTGCAGTGTGCAATAAAGCGATAAGATTTGTAGCCGGGGTGGAGGGGGGACTTCTTATACAATCGACAAAGATTTTTTTATTTAAAATACTAATATAATTAATTATAAAATAACATATCTATATCACAAGCATATGGCATGTCAAACGTTAAAATATACGAACTTTTCCATTTGTATTGTAAAATTTTCCAATTGTATTATATAATTTTCCATTCATATTGTATAATTTTTCATTTGTATTTTATAATATATATTTTCATTTTATAATTTTCATTTGTGTTCTTTGTATTGTATAATTTTTATTTGCATTATATATTTGCCATTTGCATTGTATAATTTTTCATTTGCATTGTATATTTTTCATTTACATTGAGGATTTTGGAGACCAGGTCTTCCAACAATCTATTGGAATCCCCATGGGAACCAATTGCGCTCCGTTATCAGCAGACCTATTTTTGTATTCATATGAAGCAGAATTTATGCAAAATCTTATACGTGAAAAGAAGAAAACACTTGCTGTGGCGTTCAACTCGACCTTCAGATATATCGACGACGTATTGTTAATTAACAATGGTAATTTCCATTCCTACGTGTCGCCCGAGTGGCGCAGTGGTTAGAGCGTCTGCTCTAGAGTCGCAAAGTAAGGAGTCAATCCTTACGTTGTGGGTTCGAATCCCACTGTGGGACGTGGAGACCGGTCCTTCGGATGAGACCGTGTAAACCGAGGCTCCGTGTCGCAGTAGTTGCTGGCACGAAAAAGATCCCTCCCTGCTCAATGGCCCTGAGTGCCGAGTATAGGACAAAATTTGCAGCTCTCCACCGACAAGTGGTGGCGTCTCCATATGAGTGAAAAATTCTCGAGAGGGACGTTAAACAATATACAATCAATCAATCAATCCATTCCTACGTCGATACGATATAACCAGGAGAGCTTG